GCTGCTGCTGCTTGCTATAGTCCCACCGTCCCGCTCTACGTGGCTAACACGAACCCCTAAGCCGCTGATGTGGGTTTATGCTGGTTCTTGTTTGTTCTATCCTTTTCTACCTTTTTCTCCCGTTTTGCGCCATTTACAGTAATGGGTGGTTGCGTAGTCACCCACCCCCTCAAATAATTTCATTATAGAGGTTGTATGAGGTTGTACCCTGTCCTTTTCCACCTAGTTTCCTGTGATTGAAGCCCATTTAAAGGGTTGTTTTTGTAGTCACCCACCCTCTCAAATAACTTTGTTATGTTGGATTTGGTGGCCATGCTCCTTTTCTTCCACCTTTCTCTCTGTTTCCAACTATCTGTACTTTTATTTTGGTCAACATTATTTTCCTTTTCCTCAATTTCCTCCTATTGAGATGGCAGGTGTCCTCGACTCGCAAGCATTCTCAGCCTGTGGACTTTGATTCGATGCCTTCCAAAGCATTGGACCAAGTGTGCCTCGCAATTTTTATGAAATAGTTTTTTCTCTCTAGCTTTGATCTAGCAGTAAACCCACAAAGCATTGTGCCCAGAGGCTGTAACTCTGAGGTGCTTGTTTGCAAGCTGCTGCTCTGCCAGCCAGACAGGTGGGTCCTCAAGTGACTCCCACCTCCAAATAATTTCTTAAGGTAGGGGCCATGTGATAGCCCCACTGGGACGGACGAACACCTCGGGGTCTATAGAGACTCCTCCTATGAGGGTGCAGTTTTGCGTCTCAGCCCATTTGGCACAGATGCAGCGGACGGATTCTGCAAAAACATGCATTATGTGACCGCCCTGCCCCCCCCCCGCGTCCGTCAACAAAACACTGACATTTAACTCTTCAAACAAATCATGTTTGATTTCTTTGTTTTGAAAGAATGCCCCACATTGAGCAAAAATTATCTCTGGTGTTGCAAGGCTCGAATGAACATGTCACTGGTGCAACCTATATCAATGTTGGACTGCTGGGAGTCTGTTGAAGCCACTTGAATACCATTGCCAGCACTCTAAAAGCAGGGAAGGAAGGCAAATTCAACTTTCCAATCAAGCCGGAGGAACAACTCGGTCATCACATACTCTGTTCTTTTCATGGTCTTGTTCAAACCTCTTGGTGAAATCCATTTCAAACCTCTTGGTCAAATACATGCTGCGTCGCTGGGACTTCCGAACGGTGAGGAGCCAATCGGCTGCCTTGATCAATTCCTGGCATGAACCGAGCGCTTCGGGTTGAGCGCCGAATCGGGCTGCCTTGTCTTATCCCGAACACTCCATGTATTGTCGGCATATATGGCATACACGGAGTCTCTGGGTATGGTGGTGCCATTGAAATTTGAAAACTTCTGATCCTTGAAGGTTTCAACTGGAGGCTGATCAACGTTGATCCATGAACCCTCCAGGTGAAACAGGTTTTAGAATGTTTTAGAATTTAGGATGGGGGTGCGGACGGCCAGTGCTCTGCAGCCAGTCACCCAGTTGCGGGTTGACACCCCCGACGTTGTTCGAATTGGGCGCCTGCAACGTTGCGACAGGTTGCCCTTGCTGGACGGAAAGCACCTGGAGTGGTTCGATCCAAAATGCAATACAATAACATTCAAAAACATATCAAAACAAGCTCACCAGCTCCAAAGTGGCCAAACCACCGTGCTCTTGCCGGAAGAATCAGCGAAAACCAAGGCTTTGGCTCCGGGTTGAGTCCAAAGATCCCTTGGGGACCACCTGGAAAAACGCTCGAAGTGACTCAAAGTGGGTCACCCGTCTGCGATCTGCAGAACACCCACCGCGGCCGCGGAAAATGGCGCGAAGACTTGGCGCCTGCGTTGGCTCTTCAGGTTCCTGTCGAGAGGGAGACGGCGCGGTGGTCAGGTCTTCGTCGAGAGGTGCCCGAAGGGATCGCTCTTTGAAGGGTAGAAACCAGGACTGGAACTGGGTCTGAGGAGTGTTGTTGAAGGTTGTTAGCTCGTGTTTTTGGTTTAGTTGGAGGGTATCATAGGGTGTCCAGTTCTGACATGGAGGTTCTGCTGCCGTGGGAGTTGGGACTCTTCTCTGAAAGTCGCAGGATTGAACCGTGGAGTGCATCATGTTCATTTGCAATCATGGTGTTTGTCTCGCGCTCATTGGCGATCATGGTTGTCTTGCGCTCAAAACCTCAAGAAACTACAACATGCTAAATTGCTAAATGCTATAAATAGCCTCCCCCAACTTCCGGGAGTTGAGCACACAACAAAGGTCAAAAAGAGGGTCAGCACATATTAGCACATAGATCAGCATTATTGTGGCATACGATGGCATATGGTGGTAGAAGGGTCGCCAACTGCCCTATCAGCAATCCCTGCATTCAAATACTTTGACTACCTTGAGGTGTAGGAATTTCCACACTTCCGACAAAAACGAAAGACACTCTGAGAAACGGTCCTTTCCGGCATTTAAGGCTTAGCTGGTACTTTAACTTGACTACAGTACCTCAAGAGGAACTATTACGGTATGCTGCAGCCGCACGCCTTGGCCTTCTTCTTCCACCTGGTCGATGCACGGCACATTGCTCACACGAAAGGCACCGTGCTCTTGACCAAACGCCCTGGGTGGATTCCGGTGGTGGTGAAGGATCATCCGAAATCGTTGGCACAGGATCTTCCGTTGGAGTCCTTGGCACAGGTGTTGGGTCAAAGGAGCCTCAGATGGGTGAGCGCTGGGAGGGCTACCCCAGACCATCCAGTGGTTTGATCGGCATATCTTCCAGTCCCCTTGGATGGTCGGTATGCCATGGCAAGTGTCTAGGGTAGTCCCTATAGCTTGACTTGCTTCAAGGCGAAGATGGTTACCCTGACAACACTCAGACCCCCACTTCAGCTTCCTCGTAAGACGGCTTCTGTCATCTCGTTGCTGGTGTCTTCCCTGTCACTGTCTTGTTTTTGAGGGGTCATGTGAGTCATGTCCAGTCATGTTAGCCCGGTTTCTGCTTGAGTGGGGTTGGTCGGTCTTTGAAAACCACCATTTGCACTCACCCTCGTAAGACAGTTTCTGGTAAGACCAGTCCCATGGAGTGTCATGCGATGTCATGGGGGTTATACCCAGACACGACCCGTCTGGGACTGCCAGGACGGACTGCCCCAGCCAGACCCCCCAAACGCACGCACCGCGTCTGGGCCGTTTTGAAGGCAGTCCGTCCTGGCAGTCCCAGACAGGTCGTGTTTGGGTACACAAGGGTGCGTCCACTTGATGAAGCGCTTCTTGCAGGAATGGTCCCTGGAAATCCGTGCGATATATGCAAATCCAGGTAGTTCAGCGCCCTCGTGCGGCGCCTGCCCAGCGATTGCCGTAGGCCTGGGAGATGCGATGCGCGATGCGAAACGGTCCGATGGACGCGAACGACCTCCCGATGGACGCGATGGTGCCAGGCGGAAAAGGTTGGGGGGGAAGCCTCATCTTGAAAAAGCCGTGCCTACAAATTTTACTATACTTTATACTTCTTCTTTAGTTGTGTAGTTTTTTGTTAAATTTACCTTTTTACTACCGGTCAATTGTAACAATTCAACCATATGTCCGGAGAATTCTTCGTGGACCACCAAAGAACCAAAAATGGTCCATCAACCGTGCGCAGTCTTCCTCACGACGTGAATCTCAGGCACATCATGGCTCTCCTGTGCTGGAACACAAGGTCTTGGTGACTATCCCTAGCCTGGGGCTCCTGGCCCACATCCTCAGGTTCGGATGATTGGGGTGGGCGCCAGGTCGGTCAAAATACTTGTGAGGCTTTTGGTTGGAGCCCTAGGGAAAATTCACTGCTCATGATCGAGACTGAGTGTGGGGGTTCAGTCTGCCCAAAAGCCGAGCTAAGTCCTTACATTTTCACCTACTTTGCGCCGGTGAGAAGATCTCTATATAGTAGTTTCAGAATAGATGGCACAACCCCCAAGGTGGCTTTCAGATGGGAGCCCATATAAACAACTTCTTGGGGGTTGCGCCATCTATTCTGAAACCACTATATAGATCTTTCAACCCAAGTGTTTCTTCACGCATCTTCACGTATCTTGGTGGCGCATCTGGGTGACGCATCTTGGTGTGGCCAAACCACCTCTTAAAAGGGGTCTCTCTAACAACACGACGCCAAACTTCCATCAAAAGAATACACTTTCCATCTGCCAAATCTGGTGATTGGCCGCACTGCTGACACGAAATGCCCGAACGAGACCCACCGAACTGTTGAGCATTGTTGAGCGGATTGTGCCCAATCCCCCCCCCCCAAGTTGTTGCATGTTATTCACGAAATGGCTGGGTCCTAGGATGCCTAGAATATCCTAGAACCCTCAAAAAGTGCCAGCATGCCGAAACGATCCAAAGCTACCAAAAACTATATACCTCTATAGCATGCCAAACTCGAATCCTATAGAATCCCCAAACTCACCACGATACTTCGCCAACCCCAGAACCCCCTCAGAACCCAACCCACGTTCGGACTCCGTTCGGACTCCGGTCGGACTCCGAGTGGCTCCCCCGCATCGGCAGACTCGTCGGGGGCGCCGCCTTGGGCGGCCGCGGCGGTTTTCAGTCGTAGTGGATTCTTCCGTTCGCATGTCAGGCTGAGAAGGCGGATTTTGATGGATGAACAAGTACACAGGACTGTGCACTACGGCATAAAGGAAAATAGATCCCAAAATGGGAGTCTCGCATTCAGCAAGGAGGACATATGTTTTAAGATGCCAGAAAGCTTTTGGGCAGGGGCCCACGAAAGAATCCTGAATCAGGCAGCACTCTTTCCCAACCTTCTTTAGTAGATGGCCAAGTCTCCAGTCAAGTCGAGCTGTAGTGCTGTTACAACTGTAGGGCACGCCAGTAAGTGTTTCATAAATCATGGGAAAAATGGTGGATTGGTTCATGCTTCCTTCAGTATCAAAGATTCATCATGAGCACTCTTGCACTATTCCTACACCATCCAATCTAGTGTAAAGCATCTTTGGATTGGTGGAGTGAGTTGAAATGATGGCGAGTGGACACGCCATGGAGGACGCTTCGGAAGCATCAGCACCAATTTTGGATCAGCTGGCATCCACTGCCGTGGCCTGCCACCCTTTTCACGTTCGGTGGCTAAGCCGTTGAGCCCAGTGGATAACAGGCTGCCTGGGCCTAGGACCTCTCGTCTCAACACAAGACATCAGGTAAGCAAAACTAAGTGAGAACTACAAAAGGAGAACAAACTCTGTTTTCAACTTGTGGCAATTGGACTGAATAATGTTCCCCGCGCTTCACTACCATCTACATCGCACGGTCTGTGTCAGGCTTAGCTGCCAAGCATTGCTACTCTGAAAGGAACTATTGAAATTCCTCACGACAAGGTCTACGCCGGCTACGCGCTACGCAACTGGCGGCTTTGCTCCAGCACTCGTCTCAATGTGTTCTGCATTTTTTCAGCCCAGATCGCATACCTCACACTGAGCTGAGTTACAGCAGAGCACGCGCGGCGAAACATCGCCAAACTTCCAAGACGTGCAGAAAATATGTGCACCCATTGAAGCCCTGATCTAAACATGAAGCGAGTAGGAGTAGAAATAGTGATCAACCATGTGCAAAAAAGTAATGGACAAATAGTCATACAATGTCATACACCACTGCCTATTAAATTGCAAGCAACCAAAAGCAACCACCAATTCTCATACCACTGCCCCACTGATCATGAAATATCCGTCTGCAATCGAGTTCAATCAAAAAAACTGTGACCCAAAAGGAACATTTGCCCGTATAGTAAGTGGTTGGTATACATGGATCGGCCGGGTGGTTGGAACTATGTATACATTCTTTGGCGTATACCTACTAATTTGCATTAATTTATAGGTTTGAACTATACATGGGTGGGTGGTTAATTCAAGATGCTCCTATTATAGTTGGCATTCATATGGGTCAAAGTTGGGTCCCATTGCCAGTAACATTAAACAAAACATCGTGATCATCTTGCACCAACTCTTACTGGTCATACTGGGGCACACCCTACCCAGACCATCCATGGGAAGAGTGACATACAGTACATGGATGGGTCATATCTGACATCTATATCTATTCCAATCTCATTGACATTGAGTGTACCCTAGGGATCCAAGTACCTTCTCAGCAGGTGATGTGTTCGACACCGCTATGTAGGTGCCAGGAGGGTACAGTCGTCCCGAGCCTGAGGTTCGGTACGAAAACGGATCCATAGGGGTCATTAGTGAGGTCAAGGCGTTCCCCAGGTCCAGCACTTTTGCCCAACGGATCGAACGTGACGTCTTTGCGTTCGACGCGTGACCCCTTGGGCGACAAGTGCAAGAAGTCCTCCATGATCTCCTGACGCACACGCTCGGAATCCGAGACGGAATCCGAGACGCTGGGCGAGGATCGCCGTTGGTTCGTTGGCTTTTTTGGGGATTTGGCTGCCCAACTTGGGGAGGGCACGGGTGCTAGGAGCAAGGTCTCCCAAGGAGTTCGTAAGGGAGACAGAAAATCCCATGTGGAGAATATTTCGAGATATGGCATATAGGACAGCCCCTTTGGAACACAAATGATCCATCATGAGGGATACAATATCAAAGTGTCTCCAAAGTGTTTCCAACCACCCTCCCTCGTGGGGGTGACAGTGGATTCATATAGCTCGGGATTTGTGAATTCCTGAAAGAAAACTAAGTCAGTCTCATGGTTCTCAAAATATTTTCGAGCTGTGCAAGAAGGGAAAAGCCTTCTTCGTGGTACTTTGAAAGTACCTTGCAGCATTTCAACCGTCCAAAGGTACCAGGAATGATCCGCGATGTTCTGGTCGCCTCCTTTCAGTGCAGCAACCGGTAGACCCCCAAAATTTACTTAAAAATTCAAAATTATCACGTGTTCCCTTTAAAAAAACAGTTAGACGCATACTCGATCATCCTTAAACCGTCTTAAGCCAAAGTCAGCTCCGGAAACCATGGAGGAAACGGTCAAACTCATGAAGCTATAGAACGACAACCAGGACACCAATGCTAGTGTAGGTCGACCAAAAATGGATCCTTGTCACCAGGACTGAGGCCGTTGCCATGTGTCAACATCCATAGAAACCATCACGTCCATACCCAGTAGCTTATAGAAACTTCCAAGTCTGAGTCTAGTAATTTTTGTCTATTGTTGTTTGCTGCCGGTCCCTCCAATCCGCAGTTTCAATCACAAGCTTTGGACGGCTTTCTCGGATAGCTTTGATCCGTCGATCCTGAATCCCCAAAGGTGGCTCAGTAGGCGGCTCTACGCGCTCCGCTTGTAGATTGATAGTAAGGACGCCCCGGCCAAATCAATGCTAAGTAAAACTGCATGCATGTATACTGGATCGTCAAAGGGGTGTCCAATGGCAGCCCCTAAGCAGTGTAGGGCAGTCATTGGATGGTGCTGGCACAGGCCCCAGCATCAAATTGATAACTTTCCCCTCAAGGCACCTTGGGGTGTGTGGAAATATAGTAACGACCAAGCGCTGCCTGGATGCAGTTTTGTCTTTAGAAGATTGGTCCGCAATGCTTTGCAGGAAACGCGGTCGCAAGGGCCTGCGAACACCACACCAGTCCCAAGAAAATTCGTGTCGCTTTAATATCTTCTTCCGACATACTTCCTCTTCCGACCCATACCTTCCCCTTCTTCCCCTTCACTACGTGGATCTTTAGCCACACCCAGGTCCATGCAGGTCCAGCTAGACTCACAGGAGCACATACCTTTGGGGAGGCCATTTTGGGCGCCCTGCGCTTGGTCATCAAAGTCACGGTCATCCAAACGCCCAAACGCTGTCGCCTGCGCAATGACGCCCTCAGAGGTGAGGAAGTGCTCTCCGAGGTCCAGGAAGTCCACCTATATAGACCCGGCGCTGTGGGGAGCTCGGATCGCAGGGCTCGCAAAACATGCACGTGAAAAGAACGGGATGAAATCCAAACCCAGACACTCCATGGGACTGCCATATATGCCGCCCCAGCCAGACCCCCAGTCAACCACTCCAACCGATCGGCAGTCCTATGGCAGTCCCAAACAGGTCGTGTCTGGGAAAGGGATTGAAAAGCGTCAAATCTGAAAACCCGATGCCAGGAAACTGAACGAAAACTATAGCGATCGGACCCGAACCATGGGGAGGAACGAAGACATCGGATGGGTAGCCAGGGGCATGCCCGGTTTTGAATGCTCCCTTTTTCTCTCGCCTGATTTTGAGATATTTTGAGATGAAGGGGTGCATCCATCAACATGAGATAATCGAGGATCCATCATCAACATTCTTCTTCAAACAACATGCATATATATATGAAGTTTAAAGTCTAAGTTATAACATGTCAATCCCCACCGTTGCGTCATGAAGTCATCACCGTTGCATGCATCCAAAACGTCCAGTTTACACGTCCAAAGCGTCGAACGACAAAGCGATCCGCGATCCTCAAAGCCAGCCCGTTCACAGTGGTGGTTTGGTTCTGAGATGTCCTGCCGTTCAGACACCCAAACACCTTTAATATCAAACACTCCATGGGACTGCCATATATGCCGCCTCATTGAACCCCCCAAAAAACCACTCCAATGTAGGCATATATGGCATACATGGAGTGTCTGGGCTAGATCATGTTGCATGGGAATATGTACTAGTAACTCTTCCATTCCAGGTGCGTTTCTGCGGGTGCGTTTCGGTTTTATCACACCCCACGTGGGCCCATCAACTATTCATCTGTCGCGGCACCATCTTCCCATCCTCAAGGCTCGCCAGAAGCCGATTGAGCTCCAACACTTCCCGTCGCAAGGCGCTGCCTGACGCTGAGCGGCGAGCCGCGAGCGTGGCCAGCGTGGCGCCAACATCGATGCACCTTCCACTATAGTACAGTGGGTTGGTGAATGTGAGGCCGTGCACCGATGGTACTGCATGGTGAGTTCGACCTACCTTGAAGGGGTTGGGGCTGATGTTGACCTACCTTGAGTGTTTCCGGAACGCTGGCCTGGTCGACCGGGGGCCCGTCTGATGCAAGGGGCTGATGGTCAAAGTCAATTCCCTGTGCCCGAATGATGATGGTTAGTGCTTGGCTATGTCCGACATCTCTCAAAGAGTGATGTTCCTGTTTACCGGCTCATAAGGTATAATTAGGACACTCCCAAGTAGTACCCATAATCCCTATATATACTCATGGTTACATGGATGGCATGCTCCTGACTGGAGCCTTTTTCCGACTGTTGCAGTCCAAGGTGGTGCCATCATGTGCCATCCACATAGAGCTACCGGAGACCAGAACCATCCGGTCAACTGGTTTCCAGACAGGGAGACCCCGGATGGTCCGCATGTGTCCAACACTTGGATGATAATCACATGGGGTTTCTTCCAACAGGAGGGTTCAGCTCTTGCCTTCGATGACACACATGATGTAACTCCAAGTCTTGTTCAAGTTCTCTTGGAGCCCATCCGAGCCTTAAACTAAGGCTCGAAGGTTCCAAAATGTGTGGACCGAAAAGGGTGCCTTGTTTTGCCAAAAACGACTGACTTGCATGAATTTCTCTCTGGAAAGGGATGTTTGAGGCCGGCTACATCCGGCCAAGCTGGCTGGCTACCAGAAATCTCTTCCAACATGGCCAACTTCTATTTGCGTTACGATTACCATATTTAGTTTGATCTTGATTCAATTCCTTTCGCTTGTCTATGATCTTGGTGGTTGCCTGTTCCCAAAAAATTTCAGAACTCTCTAGGCCCCTGTCATGTTTCCACTGCTGGATGATCCTTTTGCTCAATTGCGGTCCACCACAGTTCGTCAACATTGCTTTCTGGATCTTCTGGTCCTTGAGTCCTTGGTCGGCCCACCTCTTCCAAACCCAACAGGGCGAAACAAAAAACCTCACCGCGCGGGGAAGCATCGCGCGCTGGTCCCACCTGGGGCTTGATCACGTGGAAGGACACCCAGCAACAAAAAGCGCGTGCGCGGCAGCTTTGCTTTCCTTTCGTGCGAGTCTTTTTGCGCCACTTCTTAACAAGCTACTTAAGATCTTGGCCTTCGAAAATGAAACAAACATCAAAGAACCATCATTCGGTCCCATTGAGCGATTTCGTCAACAAAATCCGTAAAACGCGCATTGTTCGGGACACGCGGAATTCACCTCAATCGACTGGTCCTTGCAATCTGCTCCGAGAACTCTACTCCGACCGGCTTCTCAAGGAAGCGGACATTGGCTGACCCCGCTCAAGTCGTGTCCCTGGAGCAAAATCATGTAGACTCTTGATCAAAAACTCCCCGCTGGACGTTTTTTCATACAAAAAACACGACGAAACGGGATGTACAAGGCCATTTTTTTCTGGGTCAGACTGGACGTCGGGAATAGACTACCGAGGAGTTCAACCTACCGGGCTGGGCGCCTCTCTTTTGGGTGCGGTATGCCCGCAGCCAGTTTCTTCCGTTTTGGGGAAGGCAAACGAAGACACTCTCACTCACGTTTCATGGAAGTGGATGGCACGGAAAACTCCGAAGACCATGACATCCGCATACATCCGCATACCAAAACAGGTGTTGCATGGTGGTGCCATCAACTTCCATGAGAAGTAGGCCAAAGGATAAACCTTGAAACGGCCTAAGGTGGTTGAGAAAAAGCCACTTCTCACCTTTCAATATGCTTCTTTCTTGGGTCTATCCTAATACCTGGGCCCAGTGAATGATGATGGTTATGTTGCAGGCCTTGTTCAAAAAATAGTAAATGGTTGACTGACTGGGACAAACCCAACTTCTTCCATCTTCTTTCAATTCAGCACAGCTTGACGCACCATCACCTCCTCGCGTCATCGACACCCGATCAGTTCACTCGGCCAAAGGGTCAACTCTTGCAGAAGCTTCTGAATGCCCTCGGCGATCCTGGGGGCTTCCGCTTCCGACTTCGGGCCCCCCTGGCCGACCATCCATGAAGTTGGAGAAGTTCCACCTACTACCATATGGATGGGTGATCAATTAGGGTATACCAGGGGCCCTCAAAACCATGAAAAACAATGGTTTTCACATACAAAAACCATGTTTTTTGCTAGGGAAAACCAGATGTTTGATGGTTTGTGGGCCCCCTTGGTAGTTATTTAGTGTAACCCTGCAGGTCCACTCTGACCCCACAAAAGCTGCTCCTGAAAACCTCCATGTGTCGTATTCATGTTTCTTCAACGTCACATCAGGTCTGTTGGTGCGTGGGACCACGGATCGTCCCCACCCGGGTCGTCCCACAAAAGACCAGGGACACATCCCGAGAAAGAGGCGCGGACAGTCGGTGTGTGGCGGAGGTGGATTCCCTTAGATACCTTGGATGTGTGAGGTGCTCCACATCCACACAGGACCGGGAACAACAAATACCAGAATACTTTTTGCTTTACAATCTCTCCTTCGAATTACAAATACCAGGAAAATCTTTCTGGACTCGGAATAATCGAATCTAAGACCCTTTCAAAACCGTCTTGTGAACTCCATGGGAGAACCCATGAACTCCATGAGGGCGGCAAGCCATCCTTCCAAACCCGCCATCACCGGCCGTTGGTCCAAGCGGATGGACCGGACTTCTAGGCCCGAGCAGCTGCTGAGCCTTGTGTCCGCTGTTCCTGGCGACACGCACGCGGTTCGACCGCGCCCGGAAGCGAGGACGAAGGCCCAGGGGATTGGGCGTGCTGGGCGTGCTGGGCAGGTCACACCAGCGCACCTGTCTGCAATCCATCCCAAGTGTTGAAAGGAAGGTCTGCATCAAGAGAAACCCCATCACGGAACACCAGCGGAGCCTGAAAACCCGGTTTTTCAGCGGCGATCGTGAACCTCCGCCCATCCGAGCGGCGATCGTCAAGATTAAAACCAAAGAAAACTATAGTAGGACCTCTCCAAGTACGTGGGAGTATACTGAATACTCATTGAACAATGTTCACGAAGTCTGCATGCGGACTGTAGAAGCTCGTTGGATGGCTGCGAAGGAAGAGTGCCCTAGTGACCAGTACTATAGCACTATAGTAGTCACTAGTAGTAGTACGCTGACAGTTAGTAGTAGAACGCTGACACTTAGGACCGGGACACTAGTCGGTATCACAGCTAATTCTTGATGAACAAAACTGCTATAGTCTGATTCCCAACCTAGTGTTACTCTTGGTGCCCAGAAGACCGGAAACAACGTGCACTATTAGGTCACAAAAGCTTCCAAACTCGTCCAGCAGGTCCTATGATTGCCCTCTTTTTCAACACAGGTCCTCCCCGCCCTCCACTCCCCCACCATGCCCATCCACCGTGGCACCCGATGTTGTTGGTGCCGATCATCAACACCAGCAGTAGTGGATCCAAGTTGTCCAACGCTCCCTGCTGCACGCGCCAGAGCACGTGCTGCACTTCGTCTCCACCAATGCCCAGATTTAAGGCGCTGTAGGGTTTCAGGTACCTTAGGTCGTCTCGGCGTGTGGTGTACCTTGATGTGGTCTCCAGCAATGGACCATGAGTAGATGGTACTGGCTTGAATTGTTAGGGAAACTGGAAAACACGAGGCTCGGTCAACAAGAATATGAAGCTTCTCTATGAGCACCGTGGAGTGGAGGGAAGAGTAAATATAACGTGCATATCAATCGTGAGCGGCCCGGGGAGATGGTGAAATTGCTGGTTGCACCCCTTCCAGTCCCTCATTGTTGAAGTCCGGCCAACACTCCTCTCATCTGGTCTTTGCTAGTACCTGGGAACCGGAAAAAACCTCTCCCAAACACTCCATGGGACTGCCAGGGTCGGACTACCGAGAAGTGCGGCCAGGGGCTGGGTCTGTTTGGGGGCAGTCCGTCCTGGCAGTCCCAGACAGGTCGTGTCTGGGTATGATTGCCCCAGGTGAGGGAGATTCGCCAGGTACACCACATCCTCGGATCCCGCCGATCCGTCTCCGCAACCGAATTCGGACTCGAACGAAAAAGGAGTGTTCACTGGAAAGCGCGACTGCCGATGCGTTGGACCTCTCAAACCATGTCCTGTCTGCGAGTGTCTGGTTTCTGCTCAGACCGATCTTGGCTGCGATTGTTCTGATGTTGATGATGCTGGAAGGATGGAAGAATACAGCTCTTCTAAGATTTCTAAGGTTGGGCGGTTGGCGATTTTCAGGAACCCCTGTGGTCCAACAGTTTCCTCCAATCCATGCGCATCGACCTGCCAAATTCGCTCATCCAACCTGATAAATTACATACTAGATACCCAAACACTCCATGTATGGCATATATTTAATTGATGTAATTGAAAAGTGGTCAATGGAAGTATATATGACACTCCCAGACAGGTTGTTCCATGGCTCCAATCTCCACCACCGAGGTTTAGTTGAATTTATATCAACTCATCAAAATCTTGGACTTGTCGCTTGTTGTGAACTGGTTGGCCCTTTGGCGTATGTGTGGCCCCCTCAACTGTCTGCCCCGCAACTGTCTGCACAGATCGATCTGCACAGTTCCCGTTCTTGCGCTCCATTCAAACATGAGCGAAGGACATGGAGCGTCCAGTGCGTCCAGGGTGCTGATCTTGCCAAAGCTCAAAGCCGTTGCCCAGCCAACCTTCCGTGATGGAATCTCCTCGCCCCGCGCGTTCTTCGCGCAACGCGCCGAGTTTTCCGGTGGATCCTGGAAGCCGGCTCTGAGCGAGCTGGACGCTACGCGTCAAGACTGGGATGGGTGGAGAAGATCAATTACAAAAGGGAGTCCCCGACTCCTTTATGCATTTCCATCTATTCTTTACTGCTCAAACACTAGTAAGCACACCCTTCAGCAGGGTGAAGACTGGGAGATGCAGACCTGGAACTTCTGGAAACAGGCTGCAGGGTCCGAGCGCACCAGCAAGGGTGATCTTCGTGGTGGAAAAAACACATGCAAGTCAATCTGGGTTCGGCACATGGCGTCCCCAAACGGGCCTCTACACTCTACACGTCTGGAAGCAAACATTCATTGCAATTGGTCGGATAGGCCAAACTGATTGGTTTCCTGTAGATGTTCCAATTGAACCAATTCTGGTGAAACACATCATAAACAATCATAAACATAAAGCAAACTCGAGAGGTTTCTCTTCAGACCATCTATCTGGTGCCCCTGGTGACCCTGGTGACTTTCATCCGCTCAGGCGCCCAGGAAGACGACTTCGCACTTCTCCCTCTGCTGCAGATAGATCCGGTGCCGCGTGAGCCAGTGCAAACGAGGAAGCCAAACCTGGGATCCGGCCATCCCTAGGGATCTGTTTTCGTACCGTACCTCAGGTTCGGTACGACTGGACCCGACCATAGCACCTACTAGCCACAGTGGAGACAACACATCACCGTACCTGAGAAGGTGCGACTGGATCCCCAGGCAATGTTCCTTCAGCTCGCTATGGGGGGGTTCTTCTGTCAGTTCAAGCGGTACACAAAGGAAAGCTAAGAGACTATAGCCAAAAGTACTCCAAGAACCCCTGAAACCACCGCAATGTAGCTATATTCAGATGCCATACATAGAGTGTCCGAGTAGAATAACTGCTGGAAGAAGAGGCGCATGAGCGTAAGCATGTCGTGAAATGCCATGAGTTGAATGTGTCCTGCCCAACTTCCAAAAACGGTATGCACCCTCCCACCTGCAACAGCATCCATGTGGATTTGTTTGCCGGCTGGCTTAATTCCCTACGGGCCTTCGAAGACCAAAGTCAGTTGCAGTACATGCCTAGTATATATATATATATATGAGCTTTGCTGTGAATGTCCCCTTTTGAGGAAGAGGGACCATTTCAAGTCAAACCACTGGCATCTGCCACACCGTGGCACTCACCTCACCTCCTTCTTCCAGGGAGCTTTATCTTGTTCGCATGGCTCGCAGGCGCTCTGTCCGGAAGCTCCCACACCCACGCCCGTGGCGCCACTCAGGCGCTGGAGAAGCGGCGCGAGGATGCCCAAGGGCGTGGTGCCATACAAACGACTGAGGAGCCTGGACCCGGGCGAGGGAGCCCGGGTCTCTCCAGGTCTCCCAAGAGGAGCCGAGCCCGGGTCTCTCCGTGGGGTACCTTATCCCTAGCGATCCACACCTTCTCAGGAGGTACCACTGGGCCCGACCCGGGCGCCTACATCAACGTACCTGAGGTTCGGTACGGCTGGATCCCTAGGGCTATACATACTTCTTCTTGAGGTCAAAGTATTTGAATGCAGGGATTGCTGATGGAGCAGCTGACGAGCCTTCTGATACCACCATGCCACCATATGCCTGGGATCGTCTACCGCCGTAGTCCTTCAACCGGACCATCGGACCATCTGGGTGTCCTGTCAGGTCGATCTCGGTGTGGGGGTCGTGTAGGGTAGTCCAGCCAGGACACCATGAATTGATTCATCCAGATGAAGGTCGTGCATACCTGGACCATCCGACCATGATGGATTCATCCGGAATAATATGTGAACACTTGATTCCATTGCACGCCGTTTTCTCCCAAAGATGGATGAATCTGCCAGGTCCGCCTGGTCCGTCTCCGATCGGGATGTGGGGACCGGTCACAGCTGCACTCAACCGGATCTCACGCAGGCGCAGGTGCAGGAGCGTCGTGAGCGGCGAGGCCAGTGACCCGGTTACGCTCCGGAACTGATTTACCATTGGGATGGTTGACCTGCCAAGGGAGGTTTTTTGTGACCGTAAATAGGACCTGTCACCTGGGGTACCGAACTGGGATAGGCGAAGGGTCGGGTCCTTCAACCTCCCTAGGGTAGATTTCGGCGCCAGGAAGTAGGATTCCATAGGGTAGATTTCGGCGCCAGGAAGTTGGTGCCGCCTTTGTTGCTCATCCAGCCTCTACCTCCCTAGCTGCCCTAGCTCGCTGGTTACCAGCTGCTAATCTGTCACACCAGTAGCTAAGGTGTTCGGATGGTTCAGTCCAGGGACATCACCAGCTGCACTGGATGACAATGATTTGCAGTCATCTACAAGACTTTAAGAAACGGTGTCTATGTGCATCTTACCCCGACGGCCCCTCTAAGGGTTATAAACCTGTTCCCCATATCACTCGCCTAGGTTTGCGAATTGAAAGAAGCTTCGCAGCCGCGACCGACCGGGCCAGGCGCCCTCCACTTCATCACAGCAACGCCAGAGTTCCGGCACTCCCAGCACAGGTGCCCAATGCCGCCGCCAACAACATCCCACAGAGGTCGATGTGCAATACGCGATGAACTGCGCGGACTTGGCCACGACGGCTCGTTGAGGGAGGTGGATTTGGACCGTCTGTTTATTTGTTTGTTTGTTTGTCCAATGTTCCTCTGGCCCATCTCGGGTTTGGTCAGCACACGGTGTGCCCTGTGAGGGAGGTGGAGCCCGCAGGTCTCAGTATTTGTGGTGCTTTCAGCGTCACACACAAGTCTAGTTGAAGGAGAACCACTTCTGATCCAAACATGACCGAGACTTCCTGCTACAGGAAGTCGACTGCCGGAAGAGTCACCCATGGTTACCTGCTGAATAGGCCAATCGCCTTCTGGGTGAGTCGACTTGCTCTCAACACCTTGCGCTTGAGCACAAACAGCTCGGCGGTTGAGCGCCGATCCGCTGCCGCTGCCGGTCCAATCCGGCGATCCGGAAGTGGCCGACACCTCACCTTCCCCAACACTGAAGTTCAGTGCCTGCCAGGCAAAAAGTGTGCAGACAACACACTATTTGATCGAAAGATTCGGAAAGGACGTATATGTGATGTATAACATCTCTGCCTACTTTTTCCATCTATAGAAAATGCCAGCCCCAAACGGGGGCCATTTAGTTGGAAGATCTAGGTCTAGCATGGTACACCTCAGTACACCTCTTTCCCCCGAAGGAGAACCAAACCACTGGACCGACTGGTGGTTGAACTGGACACCCCCAGCTCGCGAATGGGCCCGAAGGCAGAACTGATTCACCAAAAGCCTTAGACCAGGAGTCACAAAGGGGCGGTGTTTGGTCCCCAGTGGGTAATGGGCACCCCTAAGCTCCAATAAGCACCTCTTTGCGACTCCTGGTGCCCAAACGCCTCGATTTGTTCACAGCCCAACTGTTTACCGAAGCTCAACCGATCGGTGAGGTGAGAAAACCCCAGGAACCGCTGGTCCCAACGACCTGTTTGGGCAGATTGACCTCCGCCCCGCGGAATGAATTCCACCAGCCTGACCTGATCGGTCGGCCCAGTCCCGGTGGAGCAAAGGCTTGGAGCATGGGAGCGTCTATCAAACCCTCCTCCCCCTTTGCACCCCAAGCACCCAGCCAACAGGTCCGGGTGTTTTGGCCGCCCCAAATCCTTCCTCAAGGATCCAGCCGTACCGAACCTCAGGTTCGGTACGACTGGAGCCTCCTGGTACCTGCATGTCTCTCGTTGTCGAACACATCACCGTACCTCCTTCTCAGGCACTTTAAAGCTTGGTTTCGATCGCCCTCCAGAAGGCATTTCAGCTTAAACCTTCGGGGCCCTCGGACCACCGCGTCCGCCCGAAAGTGCGGCCAAAGTCGGGGCTCCAGACAAAGGAGGCCTTGCACGCGTGCTTGGATATTATGGGTAATGTGTTGAGCTTATGGGTGATGTGTTGAGCCTCACTCTTGTTTAGCCATCCGCAGTTCGTGTGCTCCTCCGATACGTAGGGTATGTGGAGGCACGTGGCAAAGCAAGAGAGGGTGAAACAGAACACACATATACCTCCGAAGCAGAATAGAATGGATGTCTTTAGTAGACATCCCTGGAACTTCTAAAGAATTCGCGTGCGTGCCTGTTGCCTGCTTTTATGTGAAAGGGCAAACAGTTTGCACAATTGGAAGGCCCTGGTAACCAGGTATGAACACCATAGACCATCCTCTGAAAAGTGGTGCCCGCCAGTCGCCCATCGCTCTGTGCCAAGCCTGTCTAGCCCAGGCTGAGTGAACCGCTTGGTCGAAAGCGTCGGAAACTCGATGTGATCGATTGCTACCTCCATGTATTTACCCTACACCTCCAATTACCTCCTCAGATGGTGTTTGGACCCTCCAAACCCACCCCAAGCACCTTCTCAGAAGGTACGACTGGAGGCCTAGGGTTAGTGTTTTGAAGAGATTCATGTGGATCTTGCCAGGCAACAATTGCAAGCTGACGGCCATGTCTGTTGATCAAACTGACGTGCCACGACTGAGGAAAAAGACGAACAACAAACCATCAACCAGTCACACCCAAAGGGTGGTCACACCTAAAGGGTGGTCTATGGTAGTCGGTCAGGGCCCTTGTGCCCCGAAGCCCATGTGTTTCCCACCAATCACCATCTGAAAAACGTGAGGTCCAAGTCAGTGTGATCAATCTGGGGTTGGGGGCAAACGCTGAGCCTCGTGCTTTTCACCACCTCGAAACATGAATCAATGATGTTATTTAAATTTTTAATTCCTGTCTTTGTTGATCATCCTGTTCGTTAAAGTTAGACTACCTGAACTTTCTCCATGAATTCTTCATTGCACATACTAGCACCCGCTCAAACACGTCTCCAATAGTAATTACCAGCTGCTTCCAAGGGGTCGTCAATGGATATCTCCACACTACTTACAGGTCTCCATTGGGCACCCCTTGGAAGCGCCAGGTATATACATATATATATATATATGTCTCCTCTGGAGACCTCTGAGCACAACAGCGGTGACGGTGACCTGTCGAGTTGGGTACCGTGGTAGGCTTTGGGTGAATCCACTTAAACATAAAACATTGGAAAAAAAAAAACAATATAGGCAAAATACTATGCAACATATACCATGGCAAATGGCATATGATATAAAATAAATACGTATAACTAATTGAAACAATGTAAAATATATAATATACACATAATATGACACCAACATACCAGGATCATCCTGTTTGGGCGTCCTGGCTGGACTACCCTACACTGCTAGACGGACCTCCATTGACCCAAACAGGATGATCCTGGTCAACTTGTGTCCATCTTTCAGGTGCCCGAGCTCCCCCGTCGCTCCCTCTCTGGCGCCTCTCCCCAATTCGGCAAAGGTCCTCTGCAGGGGAGGCCAGGCCGGCTGAGCTGCGAAGGGGGGTGAACAGAGCCACCACCTTGGCACCCAGGCGCCCGTTTCGCCCAAGCGCACGCACTGTGCGGTGCACTTGGCCCCCCCTGTTTTGCGACTGGGTTTGTTTGGGGACTGCAGGTTACATGGAATGGTGCGCCAAACACGACCTGTCTGGGACTGGTTAATATTTACAGATCATTTGGGGCGCTTGAATTCTGGATTTCGCCAGCCCAAACCGGTCGTGTCGACGGGCGCCATCGCCATCCCCCACCGGTCGCGTCGAAACACGCCGCCCGAAACTCGGCTCTAATAGCCTTCTGTTCGACCATTGCAAACATGGTTGACTTGTCTTTTTGGGTATAACGGTGGCAGAAACCGTAGGCCAGGACGCCGTTTCTGGGCTCGCCCGGCGTCCGATAGAAACCGGCCCCTATTCGCACTCAGACCCGCTTGATGCGCCCATCGGCCAATGGGACGTCCGATGCCACACCTGAGACAAAGCCTGGTGTGTCGGCTTATTCTGTTCACATTGGTAGCGTTTGGTGAATGCTCCCAGCTTGGTATTCCAAAAAGAACTATTGAACAGCCTCAGCCAGCATCTGCAACCTCCACGAAATCTCCGTCTCCTCATCTCCCCGACGCTTGGGTCCGTCCTTGTGATCGGGTGCGAATGCGCTCCTGCGGCGGTTTTTTCGTCTCCTCATCTCCCCGACGCTTGGGTCCGTTGTCTGCGACTTGTGAATCGTTTGGCCCCTTTTGGTGGAGAATGACGTGCACCCCAGGCATCCCCAGGACTTCCAAGGGGGCACGTTCCAAAGGACACACTTTGTGCTCTTCTCAGTCAAGTGCCTTGCCATGCGAAGTTCATCTTAGGGTGCCTTATAAAATCGATGTGACAGGGGCACCCGTATCCTCCATGGCTAGCACCCTGACATGGACTTAGCATGACTTAGCTCTGGCCATGTGGAACTATATAACTGAGACAAAAACGATTCACATCCCTACCCCTGTGACATGGGGATTCACCGGGAAACATCGATCAGTGACCTCACCCAACAGACTGCAAGAGAACACAAGAACACCATGAACGCCTGTGGAAGTCCCCCAGTCCTGCCTCCAAGCAGCTAGACTGTCTAGCATCAAAATCACATGGACCGGTTCCTCCCCGGTCCCTCCAACGACAACAACAACAACAACAACCACAAACATGTTGAGACAAACAGAACCTTCATGTTGAGTCGGAAGCGCGGACTGGTTTGAAGCACCAAAAGAATGAGAAAAACACGTGTGACAGATGTTCAAACAACTTCAAGGCTCACCAAGTTCCATCTATTTACAGCTTTCCCTCCCCACCCATTGTCCATCCATCCATTGGGCCCCAATGTCCGCACACGCGCGGGGTTTTGTTCCACGGGCGCGCGGACCAGGAAAACCCCCTTCGCAGCGGGTGGGGCGGGCGGTGAACATCTCCGGCGTCACTTCGCTCATGGCTCCGGCTTCACCTTCGAGTCCGTTTGAGACCTCAAAACAGGTCGGGGAAGGGAAGCAAGTCCTTTTGTTCTGGGGGAAGAATTTCCACGATTTCCCCTCATAGTAGGTAATTGAAAGAACAGCATACACCAGCACCACGGGAAAAAAGAAGAAAACCCTGACGAAATTCCACCAACAAAAGAAAAAAACCTTCATATTCTATTTGCGCTGGCTGGCTGGGCGTAGACCGAAAGGATCCGCATGCATTCCAGGAAGTCATCACGGCTTTGTCTGGACTCCTCAGCGCACGCGCCAACGCCGCGGTGAAGATGGCGCCGCGGTGCACGGAAGATGGCGCGCTCGCGCGCGTTGATCACCACCCCTGAGGCTGGGAGAAGTCCTAAAGACCCGGATCGGAGCCTTTCCTGGGCATAGGTTGGGCATCTCCCATGGCCAGGAAGGCTCTGCGGATATTTACCCAGTGGATGGTGGTGAATCATTTGCAGGCCGACTATCTCGATGTTTTTGTTTACCAACTGTTACAGGTGGAGACCGAAGGCATACTGTACCCAGATATGGTGTTTCACCATTTCATACTTCTAAGCAGTGGGGAAAACCTATCAGCAGCAACCACAGAATGAAGATTTCTATAGTTCACTATTCATTGTTAATATTTGTTCATGTGTGTGTGTGCATTGAATTGACTTAACAACTCTATAGAGACTCTGATCTTCCAATCGGCCTTGAACTCAAAGAAACACCATGGACCATCCATCCATCCGCATCCCAGAACTATCTGAAACCAAATCGCCCACCCCCTTCTGAGAAATCGAGAATTCCGGAGACTGAAGCCTCATGACATGACCTGGACCCTGAACCCCATGTCCAAAATGCAAGCCCATCTGGGCAGCCACGGTTCCAGGGCACACTACACTGTCACACTGTCACTACACTCCCTGAAATTCATCATGGTTCAGTGGATGGGATCACCTGTTTGGTAGGAGGAACATTGGAATCCAGGGCCAACCTGTTTTGGGGCCATGCCATCCCACGAACCTGAAAACCATTGGGTTGTAAAGGAACACATGTCTTCCATTTTAAGTTATGTCCACCAGAGGTGGCTTTATTCTAGAAAAAGCCAATCTAAAAAACAAAAAACGCAAACAAACAAACAGTGCAAACCAAAAAAGCACTGGCAAAACAAAGAGCAACCAGGACCAAGAAAGCAAAAAAAAACAAAAAACACTAGCAAAACAAAGAGCAACCGAGAAAGCA